CCCAGATTACAGAGTAAAATGGTTGAGATAAAAAAAAGTTGGTAATTAAACATTCTGTTTTTGGTGGTTCAGGTTATGATTTGAATAAATAATTCTCATAAATTAAAAAACATGTTTTTATTTTCAACTTTCACATTGTCTTTTTTTTCAAAAAAATCATAATAAAGAAAATGTACAAATAACTGCAAAAACTTCCTCGTTTCATTAGGTTTCTAAAATGGTATCATAACATATCAGTAAGTAAACCATTTAACAAAACAATATTACTTTGCTAGAAAGGACGGCTAAGCGCATTCATTGTACTGAGCAGGTAAACCGAGCCTTTCGTGGTTGACCCTTTTTGTTATTTTTTGTGCCCTGTGCGTTATTCGGGTTTAAGTATCGGAATCTGTCCTCGCTCCTCGGAAGCAGCTCTGCGTGTGTTATGAATTGACACAGCTGACGGATCAAGGAAGGGAACTAACGCTTAGGTTAGTTAGTAGAATATCAACCTTTAACGCGGTAGGACGTACTTTTACTTTTTTGATCAGTTTTAATAATGGCGAGTTACCGTAACGAAGAATACGCTGATATTCTATTTTGTTATGGTTTAAGTGATGGAAATTCCGTTGAAGCCAGGCGAGAATACGAAAACCGTTTTCCGAATCGGCGAATACCGAGTCATCGAGTATTTGCTCTGTGTACCAACGCGTCTAGGAAAGTGGACAGGTTCATGAGAGACGTCAAGATGCTGGTAGACCTCGTTGTCTGACGACGAAGATCGAGAGGCAATACGAGTTATAGCAAAGCAGCTTGGTTTAACTCGTTGGAAAGTTTGGTTCGTTTTGCATTCGGCGAGACTTTACCCTTTCCATTACACACCGGTTCAAGTATTAGAAGAAGGAGATCCCGCAAGAAGAATTGATTTTTGTCGATACATGCTTCATCGGGATCAAGAAGAAAACGACTATTTAACTAAAATATGTGGACCGACGAGTCTAAGTTTGACAGAGAGGGGACAACAATTATCACAACTTACATTATTGGGCCCCACGAGAGGCAAATCCCCACATGGCAAAGCCAAGAGCCCATCAAAGATTTTCGGCAAACGTGTGGATGGGAATCATTCATACGTATCTAATTGGACCAGTTTTTTTGCCTGACAACCTGAATGGCGAATCCTATGAAAACTTTTTGAGATCCGAACTCTGGGAGTATCTCGAAGACCTGCCTCTGAATATCAGGATGCTGATGATCTACCAACACGATGGCTGTCCCGCGCATTTCCGTCTGGGTGTTAGACAGTGGCTGGACGAGAAATATCCTTGTCGCTGGATTGGCCGAGGTGGACCGACACCGTGGCCAGCGTGGAGCCCAGATTTAACACTGTGTGACTATTATTTATGGGGGCACATGAAGTCACTGGTGTACGCTGAGCCCATAGACACTCTTGCACAGGTGAAAGAAAGAATTATTGCTGCTGCTGACACTATCAGAGGACAACTAACTCGTCGCATCACGCGTACCAACATTAGAAAAAGACTACGGGCTAGCATAAGAACGGCGGGCGTCAGTTCGAACAACAATTGCAATGAATTTTACCTTCATTTCATTATTGTATTTTACTTACCAATTGTTGTAACTTTTAGTCAATTTTATTATTCTGTAGTACAATTACAACTGTGTAAATAATCTAATCGTGTAACTTAACCGTAGTTTAAAATAATAACTATCCCATAGCTTACAGTTACATTATTTTCACAAAAACACTTTCTTATCAATCGGAGAGTTGTGATAATAGGAGACAAGCCATTGGTAAATTTACTCCCTATTGTTGTATTACAATACATTATGTTTAGTTTCACACAGTTTTTGTGCACTTATCATACCAATTTAGATTCCTTATGAAACAAGGATATTATTTAAATTGTTTGTACGTTTTTTTGTATACTGATTTTTTTGTAAACACCTTACTTACTGTAAAACGTTATTTGTTTTTCTAGTTAAACATTTTTGAATGAAAATAAATACGTTGTTTGGTATTGTTTTCGAATCTTTTTTAATTTATAATAGTTAATTATTAAAATAATAACCGAAAACCACAAAAAACAAATGTTAATCGCCAACTTTTTTCTCTCTCGACTTTTCTACTATGAAATATGGATTGTTTTAAAAAAATCTTAAATCTTCAATAACTTTTCAACCTTTGAATATAGGATATGGTATTATATACTAATTTCGATAGCAAAGGGGCTGTACTATCACTTGTTTTACACCTATTTACCTGTCACCCTGTATACTTATAGTGTATATTAATAAAAGTGGATTTACAGTGCAGGAATAAGAAACACGTTCACCATTGAGGTTTATGAAACTCACGCAAGGATTGCACTGAAAAATGTGATCATGAAGATGTTAATCAATGCCAAACTCAACTAAAATGTTGTATAATGAAATTGGCGGTGATAACAGGAATGAATTTGTTGGATACAGGATATTGTACTATATTTTCACCAAGAATACACTAGGTAAGTGAAGTTTTGAAGTTTTAGGTCTCTTGCATACTGCCACAGTATTCAAAAGGTAGTATTAAGTCTATTTTACTAATATACAGGGTGACTTTGAAGTTGAGTCATTAATTTTCAGATATGATTGTAGAAGGAAGATAAACCAAATATGTGTGTAAAAATAAAAATAAAAATAAAAAATGTTACCTTGTTTTATAAAGTATCCTCCCGACAAGTATTTCAGTGCGGACCTGTATTTGATCGTGCGGTCTTGGAGCACCGGCATGCCCTCCCCTGTGAGGTCTTAAGTCACCTGATTCACGAGCCCTTTGTACTACATTAACAAAGGCACGAGGGGGTGGTTGCACTCGATTGGGAACCGAACCGCATAAATCCGTGCAGCATTTTGTTCAGCATTTCCGTAAACATGTGCCATTTTTTATTTCGTTTGAGCCACGCAACAAACACCACTATTCACTCACGCGTTACCGACTGACACATTGACTGAATACAACTGAATAAAATTGTAGTAAAAACATCGCGATAAGCGTTTCAAATTCTTGCGCTTTTTTGTTTCCGATGCGATGAACCGATAAGGCGGATTATATCCGTTGTTGCCAAGCACGAGAACATAATATTATTATTGAGACAGGGCGGTACTCAAACTTCTAAAGGGCTATTATAACTTTGTTACTTTAATTTTACCACAAAAATGTTAAAGGAAAAAACATTTCTTTTGATAAGATCTACTCAGTGTTAAAATAAATGACTCAACTTCGAAGTCACCCTGTATATTTCATTAATATTGCAGTTGTAAGACTTTACAATGAGAATAGTTCAATTACGCATATTTTTACATAAGTTTTTGATTCTTAGAAATTTTGGGAGAATATCTATCTTCATTCAAATCATAATAATCATTAGCAAAAGCCCAAGTAGGAATTACATGAAAGAGAACTCTGTAGTATGAAAGGAATTGTTTTCTTCAGTTTAGATATCTTCAGAAAATGATTCCACATGTCCACCAACTTTTTTTATCATTTTCATGCGCATTTTTAGCATGTTCGATATCAATATTTGGAATATTCAATGCGATGGACAAAAGTATATAGACAAATATGAATATTTACCTAAATACCTTTAGAAAACGAATTCATACTTCATTGCTCCATAAACAAATGCGTTATTAGTGGAAAAACTAAATTCCTTGTTTTTACATTATCTGCAATGAACACAATACAAGTCTGATTATAAGCACTTTTTTATGAGGGACAAACATATGTAGACAAACTCTTTTCAACATTAGTTTCGTACAGTTTCGTGTTAGAAGAGGATTAGTTTGTGTTCATCAAGTATTGTGGAATAAGTTGAGTGATTTTAAGACCATGCCGCGTGGTCCAGAAATTTCTTTCGATGTGTAAACTAAGATATTGAGTTATACAAAGATGGTCAACATCAAGTCGACATTGCCAAAAATTTGAAGCTGAACCGTAAAGCAGTTTGGGCAATATTGAACAAATATAAACAAACAGGTATCTTGGAAGCCTCTAAGAGAGTTGGCGGCCTAGAAAATAAAAGTAATTTCGCCCAAAGGTCCATTTAAAACCCCAAGACAAATAAAAGCCGAAATCGAGACAAAAGGAATTGCCAGTGTTTCTACGAAAACTATAAGTAGAAGATTAAATGATTTGAAGTTATTTGCCCGTTGCCCGAGTAAGAGGTCGCTAATCTCGAGGAAAAACCGTGAGGACCGATTACAATTTGCACGGTTGCATCTTGATTGGAGCATCTGTGACTGGAAGAGAGTATGTTTCAGTGACGAATCCAAGTTCAATATGTTTGGATCAGATGGTGTTCATTACGTTAGACGTCCTAGTGGACAAAGATTGAACCCCAAGTACACTTTGCCCACTGGCAAACATTGAGGCGGGTCTGTTAAGGTTTGGGGTGCTTTTCGGAGTTTGGGATGGGACCTTTACATAGAATAGATGGCATTATGGATAAGTTTGTATACACAGACATACTAAAGCATGTCATGTTAAAACGGTTTTGTAAAATTTTAACTGATCCAATCCTGTTTCTTTTCCTGGTCGTAACGTACTCGAGAATATTTATATATTTTAGCAGTATCTGGATATGAGTACGTACCACTTTAGCGTTCTGCGATGTTCTCGTAGATGATCGACTGTTTTTATATCTACACATATATTTTTCTGAATTTTATGAACCTTAAATGTAACACCCATTTAGCCTAATCTTTTAATTTGTATTACTTCGTCTATGATGGCTCTTGAAATATTTCGTCAAGTAGATTGACTCAGTATATAGTATATACCTAATTTAGATCCGATTTAGATTTTTGTTACGATTTGACTCATCCTTCTTGTTTGAATCCTCCAACGAAGGCGAAGGAAGTATAGAGTCAATCTAGTTGACGCCATTTTTTTGTCAATTTCAGTTCGGCCTAGGAACAATGTACAATACTAACTCATTTTCTGTTCCATTCCAGATATAATGACCATGATGAAATCGTTCACTGCCGATGAGAAGACCCACCCTTGCATAGCGTTCTCGTTAAAGGTGCGCTCCGCATGGGCGTTGGGCAACTTCCATAAGTTTTTCACGTTGTATCGCGAAGCCCCGTTGATGGCCGGCTTCCTCATGGACTGGTTCATCGACAGGGAGCGCAAAGCGTACTTAAAGTGTATTATCAAAAGGTATGTATCCGATCAACGGTCACGGTGGGGCCGAATGTGCGATTCCGTTTTTGGCATAATTGCCGATTTGCAGTGTGGCTAAAAACGAATATGTAGCAGAGTATCGTTAGACGTAAAAATATAAGAAACTCGGATTCCAGGTCCACTGGATGGATTTTTGAGATAAACATAAAAAAATTAAAGTCGCTTTTCCTCGTGACCAATTTCAGACAATTTTTTGTAGGAGTTGAAACTTGGGGGCTGTACGGGATGGGGGTATTTGAATATGTTGTTCTAATCCCGGTAATTCTATGGAACTATTTGCCTTTAAAACTTAAAATGATAAAGAAATGCCTCGAGTATATTGCGTGTATTTGTGTCAGTTATTATTATTATTATTATTCCACTTTTCGCTCACATCAGTGTAAAAGATCGTGTTCTGTTCAATGCTCCCAAGTATTACTATGTCATATATATTCTCTTTTAGTCATATATCTAGGGAAGACTTACTGGAATTTATTATGTTTTCGTAGAAAAAGACTCGGTTTAGCTTTATACGTTTTCTTTCTATTTCTACAGTACATTACTTATTTGTTTCTACTTCAAAGCTAAAGTAGTGATAGTTTTTACGTATGTTATTTTTAACATTTCTTCCAGCTATTTTCAAATTATTTCTAAGCAAAAAGCTGTAGGTCACTTTTATAGATGTTCCTTGGGTACGAGTGCCTTTTGAGGGATGATCTCCTTGGATGTTAAATAAACTGTAATGTTTCCTTGAGGAACATTTTAGCGAGGGTTTAACATTTGTATTTCACAGTAGGCTGTAAAAAACGTTCAAAATTATCCGAAAATCTGAAATATACTAAGTGACATATAAATCCGAACACCCAGTTTAAATTGTTTTATTTTAATAAAATTTTGTATAAGTACTTAATGAAGCATAATAAGTAAATGATAAAAATTTCAAAATGATTGCACTGCTTTAAAGCCCTTTGACCTTTAATAATGTGCGGATGCACCCTGATGTGCTACGCATTCTCCAACGCGCCTAGGCATGCTTCTGATCAGGCGGTCAATGTTCTCCTATGGTATCTCATTCCAGGCAACCACCAACTCCTCTCGAAGTGCTTCTAGAGTCTGAGGAGGACGTTGCAAATTGAGCAATCTCCTACCCATCATATCCCACACGTGCTCAATTGGGGATAAGTCGGGAGATCTTGGTGGCCATGGTAACAATGTGACATCATTATGTTGAAAGAAGTCTATTGTGACTCTTGCAACATGTGGTCGGGCATTATCTTGTTGGAAAGTTGGATCTGCCAGGGTGTCAAGATAGGGTAAAACATGGGATTCTAGAACTTCGTGGATATAACGCTGCGCGTTCATGTTACCTCTGATGAAGATTAAAGGTGACCTGGAACCATAAGCTATAGCACCCCAAACCATAACTCCAACAGTGTGATGAACATGTCTTTCAACAAAAAACTGTGGATTCCTCCTTTCACCACGTCGCCTTCTAAACCTGGCACGACCATCGTGCATGCCTAAACAAAATCGAGACTCGTCACTAAAGACAATACTGTTCCATTCCTGATCCCAGAGTGACCGTTGTCTGCACGACTCAAGGCGATTACGTCGGTGTTCTCGAGTTAACTGGAGGACCCAGTGTGGCCGGTATGAAAACAAGCCAAAACTTCTCATTCGTCGGTAAACACTTCGCATGCCAATAGGTCTTCCGTGTTCTGCAAACCATTCATTTGCAAAGGACCTGGTAGTGGAGAAACGGTCCCTTAAGGCCAATAATCTTAGGCGGCGATCTTCACGGCCTGTTGTTCTACGGCGGCGTCCAGTGCCCCTTGCTCTTTGCGTACGGCCTTCTCGAAGCCATGCCTGACAACACCTAACCACAGTGTCTACACTTCTTTCCACTCTAACTGCAATTGCCCGAAAAGAAAGTCCAGCTTCCCGAAGTCCCACTATACGGCCCCTATCAAACTCTAAGTTGACGAAATCGTACAGGTCTCCGTACTCTAGGCATCGTAACCGATCGTAAAGGATGTCAAGAACAAAAATCCGCCAACGTTGATTCTTTACTGCGGCTGAAATATTCATTTTTAGAGCGTTACATTCACCAAGTTTTATTAAAATAAAACCATTTAAACTGGGTGTTCGGATTTATATGTCACTTAGTATATATTGAAATAAGACAGCTCATAGTGAAATTTATTACCAAAATCGACCACTGCAAGAGTGAAAACATCGAGCTGTCTGTTGGTACTGTAGCTCAGTTCACTTTACAAAAATTGACAGTATTGATTATACAAAGGGTACTATAAAAGTTTTGCAGTACAGCTTTATGTATTGACTTCGTTCAAAGTAATTTACACCACATTCGATACACTTCTCCATCCGCCAAAACCAGTCCTTAAACCAGCTCTGCCAAGTTCCACCCATTCCACCGTTTTCCTTTTAGCGTCATTTTCACATACGGAAACAGTGTAAAGTCGCAGGGAGCAACATCTGGACAACAAGTTTCAGTCCAGCAGTAGTCAAATACTCGGTGCAGGTTTTTGCGCGGTGAACTGGAGCGTTGTCATGGTGGAGGTGGCAAGTGTCCATTCTTGATTTTAGCTGCAGGTTTTTCATAGACTTTTTGACTTTAGGCAGGCACTCTTCCATGTACCACTTAGCAGTGACTGTCTTCTGTGTGTCCAAACGACACGCTGCACAATCCCGCGCGATTTGAAAAATACAGCTATCATTTTTTTCTTGACAGATCGGGATTTGCTGACAGCTACGGGTGTGTCCTCATTATCAAAGACCCAAACTGTGTTTGAGCCTTCTCGTCACCTGTTACGATGCTGTTCTCATACCGAGATTGCCCCTTATCAAACATTTTCAGCAACTTTCGGCACCAAGTCGTACGACGAGTCTTCTGCTCTTCCGTCAGACTACGCGGGTACCCAGGGAGAACAAAGTTTCCTTACATGGTCATGCAGAACTGAAAGAATTGCTGGTGCATGAAGGTGTAAGGTCTCCTCTGTCTGTTGGTATGTCACTATCCGGTCTTCGTCAAGCATTTTCCTCACTTCACAGCAGTAATGTTTTCTTCTGTTACGGCTTTCCTTCCTTCTCAGTGTCCTCCAGAGTGAAATTGCCCGTTTGGAATTCTCTATACCACCATATGGTATAACAAGAAGTGTTTTAGATTGGTTTAGAAATTATTTGTCTAAAAGGATGCAAGTTACAAAAGTTAATGACACTATTTCATCAAAAATTGAAAATACGTTGGGTGATCCACAGGGCAGTATCCTGGGACCACTTCTTTTTATTTTATGCATAAATGATTTACCTGCCATAGTAAAAAAATGCAAAATTCAGATTTTCGCCGATGATTTATATAAGTACTAAAAATATTCAGTCTGGTATCTCTTATATAAATGAAGACTTGAAACTTGTCTCAAAATGGTTAGCATCTAACAGATTAAAATTAAATACAAGTAAAACGAAAGCCTTGTTAAAACAATGTACAAATGTTCAACTGAAGATATTGAATTCGTCGAAATTTTAAATACCTGGGGGTTTTTGTTGACTCTCGATTAATTTTTGATATTCATTATGAAAAAGTTATAAATAAGATTAGTAGTAAAGTGGGATATTTATCGAGAGTTTCTGGATGTCTGTGTTCATATAGCAAAAAAATATCTATAATACCATCCTTCTTTAAATTTCTTATACTGTTCGACTATTCTATATTTAGCAAATAATTCCATTTTTGAAAGACTGCAAATTTTACAAATAAGTGCATGAGAATAATACTAAATAAAGATAAATATACTCCAATTAGGCAAATGCTTAGCAAATTAAAATGGAGAAATGTAAAATTTTTTATCAAATATCTTGTAATGATATTCATTTATAAAGTAAAAAATAATATATTTCCATCAAGTCTAACTAATTTAACATCATCAAATGTCGACCATCATTTACATAATACCAGAAATAAAGATGACTTCCATTTAATGACCAAAAAGTATAACATATGCTACAAATCTGTATTCCATCAAGGGTTGATTGAATATATTAAGTTATACTCAGAGATAAAAAACCAGAAAACTTTGACAAAATTTAAAGTAAATTGAGAAATGACTTGTTAAATCTACAATTATAGGTTTGCCCAGCATTTACATCATACACCATATGGCTTGAATTTACTAGTTCTAAGTTGTTTACAATTATTCTGTTTATGTAGCCAAATGTGCTAAATAAATCTTTCTACTACTACTACCTGAATATAGTCGTACGATGAAAGACAATCATTCTTTAATGCAAGCGTTATCTCACTACGTGACCACGATGCCATAGTTCCACACTTTCATTGTCAATACGAATAAACAACTAAACCAATAGGCGTGCTGTTGGCGGCTACTATGCACTCATGAACATGTCTCAACATGCAGTCTCCTGCGCCTGTTTGTTAAGCCATATTGCAAAATTTTTATAGTACCCAGATACCCAGTACTCGCATCCTCTTTAGGTGTAAATCGCACATACCTAATTTTAATTTCTATGTTTAGCTACCGTCAGCACGTATCTTCGGATTTCGTGGCGCAAGAGTTGGCGTTTCATTCTACCCAGGAGTGTCTAGACTACCTCGAGCCGTTTTCGTTGCCGTTCGCCGACATTGCAAGGACGCTCATTGATTGCAAAGGCAGCATGGCTGCCCTTCCAAACATATGAACAAGTCGATTCTCTCTCCCTATTATAAGTTTATATATCTATGTATATAGCAATTTTGGCTGTGCGTATGTCTGTTGGAGATACTCAAGACAGTCTGAGGAGGGACGAATTTCTTCTATGGTAGCTGTGTCTTCGTTGCTGTCGGAGTTTTCCAAGATCTGAGGGTCGTACTTACCTTCAAGTGATAGCAGTTTCTTATTGATGTCAGTTGGAGATTTCAAAGATTTAAGGGTCGTATCTACCTTGTATGCTGCTTTCATTACTATGTGATGGCGTGATTTTTTCCACCCTATGGGTTATCGATTTTTCCAAGGAGTATGAGCTGTTTATTGGATAGAAGCAGAGGAAGCCGGATCTGTAAGCTGTTGAATTATCGAGATTTTTCATTGTCTGTTGTTATATTATTATGCTGATACTATTATGTATGGATTTTTTATACTTATGATTTTCAGTAGATTGATTTAAGTCAATAAATTTATCTTTTTTAAGCTAGAGTGTTTTTTTGCAAGAATGTTATGAAATAGTTACCACTAGACCACTATTAGGTAAGCACTAAAGTGGCTTTGATTTGCTTTTTCTTGATGATAGATAATTACTTATGGGATACAACATTGTTAAGCTAGCTAAAATTGATTATAAAAGAAATATACTAAATAAACTACTAAGAATATTCATAAAATTATGTTTAGAAGCAACAATGATAGTAGAGTACAAAATATTCTAAATTAATTATCCTCAAAAAATCATTCAAGGAGTAAAATTCCTTAGAGATTAAATTATTAACGATAATCATTTTAACTTTGGTTTCCGGTAAATTACGTACATTAAAAATGAAAACTATTTAAAAAATGTTGAAATAGTATATGGAGCATTTTTCTGTATAAAACTAAAGTTACACTTATATGGGATAAAATCTGTTATGTCCAGTCATGTGATTATGTTTATTTTAGCATCCTCAAACAGATGTTTGTTTTTAAAAACAAATATAAAAGTCCAATCTATAAAGGGAAAAAACAATTTTTTTACTGATGATTCCTATGCGATTTTAAATAGTAGTCTAATCAGATTAGACGAAAATACCCCTGGTTTGCGAAATAATTGTAAAGTTTGATTTTATTGCTACAAGTTGTTCAAGGGGGTATTTAAAACATGGTCGCATAAAATGGGTACACCAATTTTTGTATGAAAACTTTTTATTCAACAACAAAGAATGAGAAAACGTGTTTTCTGGGATTCAATCGAAAGTGCTAACAGGAACGAATAAACTCTTCATAACAGATTTTTTAGGTATTTATGAGACCTACAAGATGAGTCCACACGTGAAAAGATCCGACTTACAGCAAAAAAAGTTATGGCCGAAAACGGAAGAATTGCAGGTTTTGGCACTTATTGGTAATGCAAGGATGGGATCTCGCAGATACTTCAAATTCGTAGGATTCGTACTGCTAAATAACCACAAAATTGGAGTAGATTTCGAGAATTTCTAATTGTTTATACCAAAACACCTAGTTTTCCGGCTATCACCACTAGTTTATAATAAAGATAATTGCTTAATAGCAATATACAGGGTTAGCTCAAAGGGCATTTTATAGCTTAATACACTAGTTTACAGTGCCGATATGAATCTCAAACCATTCCGAAAGATAAATTTTATTTTTGTGCAAAAAAAAAGGATGAGTTACGTTTTTTCTTCTAAACAAATTGAAACATTCGTATTTGTGAGTAATTCGTAACAAAAAGATGATAGACACATCCGCTTTGTTTTAAAATGTGTATAGTATGTTTGAATTAGTTTAGAAAAAAAATCGTAACCTTTGTTTTTCGCATAAAAATAACATTTACGCATTTGTGAGCAATTCGCAACAAAAGATGGTCCACTTTGTTTTAAAATGTGTATAGTATGTTTGCATTTGTTTAGAAGAAAAAAACGTAACCTTGTTTTTCGCATAAAAATAACAGTTATCTTTCGGAATGGTTTGATTCGTATCGGCAAGGTAAATACGTGTATTTTGCTATTAAATGCTCTTTGAACGAACCCTGTATATTGCTCAATAAACTATATCTATATGTACAGGGTGGCGCATCGAAAACGAACAGACGCATTTACTGGCAGCTGTTTTTTTTTTTAAACGCTCAGACCCGTCGATTTTGTTTTCGAGGGGGACACAAGTTTGGCAAAAAATCACGTTAGCACGTGCACCCCCTCTAAGGGGGGGGGGTGACACCACCCCCAAAATCTTAAATAGAAAGGGGTTTGATTGATACCTTATTTTAAAGGTCTGTCAATTCCCTTTATAATGATATAAAATTAATGTACTTCAGTTCAGTAATTTTGAAGATTAATTGATTCAAAGATTAAATACAACTAATACATCATCATTAGTAGAGATCAATACATTTGGCAGCAAAGTAATTTAAAAATGAAGAATGAACTGACCCGTTAGACAAGTAAATGTTGAAAATGACCACCATGACTCTCCATGCAATAATAAAGATTTTGCTCAAAACGTTGCCGCACATTTTGCAATATTTGAGGAGTAATTTGAAGACACCCATTCACAATGCTTTTTCGCAGTTCTTCTAATGATGTTGGCTGAGTAGCATAGATTCTGCTTTTTAAATGGCCCCACATAAAGAAATCCAAAGGTGATAAATCTGGCGATCTTGGGGGCCATTCAATGGCACCTTTTCTACCAATCCATCGATCTGGAAACGTCTGATCTAAATATTGTCGAACACGTAATACGTAATGTGGTGGGGGTACCATCCTGTTGGAACATCACCTATTCGCAATGTACCGCCGATCATTCTGATTTTCTTCCAGTAATTCCAAATACATTTCACCGGTCAAATTTCCAGTAAGAAAAAAGGACCAACTAAATGATCGCCAAAAATACCAGCCCAAACACACACACACAATTTTTGTGGCTGCATGATAATTCTGGGATTAGAATCGGACCAATATCGGCAGTTATGACGATTTACTACGCCATTTAAGAAAAAGGAACATTCGTCGGAAAAGCAAGTGTTGTTCATCGTTTATAATTCTTCACAAAATTGTAATCGCCGATCAAAATCGTCTTCATTAAGTTCTTGTACCAGCTGAATTTTATACGGATGAAAACTATGGGCTTTTAGAATCCGTTGGACAGTACGTCGACTAACACCACATACAGTCTCCAATTTGCGGGTACTTAACGTAGGATCTACATAAACTTGCCCTAAAACTCCCACTCCTATTGCTTCGTTCCTTATGGGATTTTCAATGTTGCGTTTTTTATTGGCGACTGACCCAGTTTCCCGAGTTCTAGAACTTATTTTCGATGCACGTTACTGTTCTCATGTCGCTCATTAAATATTTCTGCTTTTCGACCCCCCTTTCCATTTAAGATTTTTTTTTTTTATATATATATACGTAGTCATGCCATAAGTTCTGTCCCTCGTTTTCAAACAAGTGTAGACCTGTTAATACTTGTCCGATTGTTTACATTGTGGTGTCAGTTGATTAAGCGCTTTTCGGGTAATTACATATACCTCAGTTGGTATTGATCTCTTGAAGCATAACGATGGAGTGGGGCAAGGCAGAGAACCGTATTGCAGTGATAGCTTTACATAAGTGTAATCACAGTGCTAGTCAGATTTTTGAACTCTTACGCGGCCTTCAAATATCGCGTAAATTTGTGTCTAGGACCATTCAGCGGTACAATGAGACGTCCTCTGTTGATGACAGGCCAAGAAGCGGAAGACCTCGTCAAGTAAGGACTCCAGCAGCCATCAAAGCCGTAAAAGCCAGGATTCAAAGGAATCCACTCCGGAAGCAGAAGATCCTATCCAGGGAAATGAAGATTCCTGTCCGGACGATGTCGCGCATCGTTAAACAAGACCTAGGGCTAGGGGCTTACCGGAGACGTACGGGCCAGCGACTTACGGCTACCTTGCGACACATCAGGGCGACAAGATCCAAGAAGCTCTTGGAGAGGTACGCAGCTGGGGGATTCCGAAAGATTTTGTTCACGGATGAGAAAATCTTCACCATAGAAGAAAAATTCAACCGACAAAATGACAAAGTGTATGCAAGGAGTTCACAGGAAGCTTCGGAGATCATTCCGAGAGTTGAGAGAGGCCACCACCCTGCGTCAGTCATGGTTTGGTGGGGGGTGTCCTACGAAGGGGTCACTCAGCTCCATTTCTGTAAACAGGGCGTGAAAACAAAAGCGGCAAACTATCAGAGCGACATACTGGATCCTATCGTCAAGCCTTTAAGTGGTACATTGTTTGCCAACCAACACTGGGTCTACTAGCAGGATTCCGCCCCCGCTCACAAGGCTAAGAGTACGCAGCGCTGGCTGGAAAGCAATGTGCCAGAGTTCATTGCTGCGGAAGATTGGCCCTCAGGGAGTCCGGACCTCAATCCTTTAGACTACAAGTTGTGGGACCTGCTAGAGCAGTTGGCCTGCTCCAAAGCCCACCGTAATATCGAGTCCCTGAAAGCGGATTTGATCCGATCAGCGGCAGCTATTCCTTTGGAAGCTGTGCGTGCAGTGATAGATGAGTGGCCCGCGAGATTGAAGCAGTGTGTGAAGGCCAAGGGGGGACATTTTGAATAAAACTGTTTGATTATGAATTCTAAAAATGTTGTCGAATAAATAAGATCTTTCATATAAATATATCTTATCTTGTTTCATTTTTATCATGAGATTATCATGGGACAGAACTTATGGCACGACTACGTATATATATATAGGTATTAAAAAAGATCCCGAATCCAGTATAAAAAAGAATTTAATTTTTGAGCCCTTTTCTTTATTTTTTCCCATGTATTAAAATTATTTTTTAAAAATATGTAAAGTTAACGAATCATAAACTGGGCAGCATATTTAATACATCAATGTAATAAACCTTATAGCACCTTGAAAGTAATAAAGAGATAGAATAAACAGTGAAAATAAATTAAATGGTACTTCAATTAATTTTAAAACCTACACGCCACTGGCGATAACGCATCATCGGTTTTGCAGGTAGTTGTACGGTGTAAATAGGGCTGCCCTGTCAGTTGTTTTATCACTCCGTACGTTCGTTGGATAAATTATAGTAGTGATGGCCGAAAAACAGGTGTTTTGGGATAAACAATTAGGAATTCTCAAAACTACTTGACCAATATACTCCAATTTTGTTGTTACGAGGGTGGTCCCAGAAGTACCCGGCCTGACCTAGAAATGGCGATAGTTGTTTGAAAAATATCATTGTATTAGAAAGTATGCAACTTATAAAGCATCTGTGTCAAGTTTGAAGACGCCACGTTGTTTAGTATTTGTTTGGCAGCCATCAATACTGAACGTTTTCAGTAAATTTGTGAAAATGGAGAAAATTGGCCATCGTTATGTGGTTTATTTCAAATGCCTCAGCCCGACCAATATAAAAGCTGAACTGGATTCTACTCTGGGTGAGTCTGCTCCTTCGTTTACTACAGCAAAATATTGGGTAGCAG